AATGTCACATAAAATAAAAATGTATATGCTCCTGTAACCCACAGGCTCTAATTGGACACCTTCCCATTTAATGTGTAGCCCAAGATAATTCTTCATCCGGTGTGGTCCAGAGAAGCCAAGGGATTGATGGACATCCATGCTAGATGTTGCTGGTGCTCATGGCTGAGAAAGTAGCTTCTAACGACATCTAGTGGATAGAAAGAACCTGTTAATTTCCCTACTATACAGAGCATAGCACCCCAGGTTCTCTGGTGCAGGGTGCAGAGTGTCTTCATTGCAAATGTTAAGAGGCCCTGGTCTACACACACACACACACACACACACACACACACACACACACACACACCGCCCTGAGTGTTCTTTACGTCAGCCTTTTTCTGGACTTCTCTGGAGCCTTTGCCTCGCTGCATGCAGCTGAGCCCAGCACTGGGGTCACCATCCAAGCTACAGACAGGTGGCCAAGGTCACCCATTGCCCAAGATGGCGCCTCTGGGTTTGCTCTCCCTTGCCCAATAGAGGGAGGAGGTCTGACTTGGAAAGGGGACACCTGCCAGCTCCTTGGCCCATTCGCACTGGGCAGCCAGAAGAGATTCAGCAGAGCCAGTTTAGGGTAGATTCCGGGCCCAGCCACAAGATGGCAGCCCAACCCACCGGGAACACGGAGGCTCCTGACCTGGGAGAGCAGCACAAACCCTGTGCCAATCTGGACGAAGGCCTGAGGGGCTGGACTTGGGCCAGTTCCTGAGCCCAGCAGGACTAGACCTAAGGCCTGCAAGTGCCAGGTGTGACAACATAGGTAGAACTTGGCTTCAGGTATCCTCTCATATATTTTTTTTTTAACTCCCCACTCAGCTCAGTTCATCCTTTGAGTCCGGCTATTCCCACAGGGGTCTTCCCGCATCCCAGGACTCCTTCCTCTCCAGCTTGGAGAGACAAATCCCAGAGCACAGGAGTTAAGGACACAGGGAGGAGTACTATTCTCATGTAGCTCTAAGCCTCTGAAGCACAGGGAAGTTGAGCAGCTTGCCTAGGGTCAATTAGTCAATGGTGGGTCACTAGAGATCAGAAGCCAGGCAGTCTGTTCTGGTCCCTGCTCAGAACCCCGAGACGGGACAGACCATCCCCAAACCAGACACAGCTACTAAAGACACTTTGGTACAGGACGGTAGACCTTCCCTTGTGAAGGGGCAGGCGGCCATGCTGTGGACAGCTGACGGGTGGGAAGGGGTAGGGTTCTAGTATTTCGGGGGAGGAAGCTGGCTTGGTCAGCAGTTCCTCCCCTCCATGCAACCTTCTTTTTCTGTTCCTTGTTTTTTTTTTCCCCCATGTTTTCATCTTGTTTTTTTTTTTTTTTTTCTTTTCTTTCTGCGAATGTCAGCCTTCTCTTGGTGTGAAGGGGAGGTGAGAGAAGAGACTTTTATGTCCTTCTTAGGATACAGAAGTGGGAGCACCCCTTGAAGCCTAGGAGTGGGGGGTGTCACCAGGGTCCAGAGTGAGAATCTTAAAGGGGACACTTCGGGGAGTATTCCCCATCTGAATCCAGTCTGCTTGCCCCTCGGAGTGTGCTAGATCCCCTTTCCCATGCCCTCTCCCTCCAGCCCCGGCACAATCCTGTTTTTCTGGCACATCCTCCAAAATTAAGGGTCCTCACTACCCAGCTGTCCCCTACCAGGAGTTTTTTCTCTGTCCCTCCGAGACCCAATCCCTTTCTCTGCCTGCTTCTCCCCAGGTCACACTGTGGCTCCCCTTAGTACTCACCACGGAGTGGGGTCTGATTGGAGCTCAGTACCTACCCCTCAGAGACCCCCGTAAGTCCCCACCCAGGACTCAGCCTCAGTCAGGGAGCCTCTGAAGCTGGAGCTCTAGGGTCCCGAGGCCATTCCTGGCATTTCCTAAGTCACCCAGACTTCAGTGAGGGGCTTCTGTGCTCAGGGTTATGCGGAGAGAGGCCAAGGCGAGCCCCAGAGGTGCTGGTACTCCTTTCATTGAAGTGAGATGCGCTAGAGAGACATTTGGAGAGCCAAGCTCTGATCCTGTGTGGCTTTGCAGACAGGGTGGGCAGCCTGAGCCCCTGAGGCTGGCTCCTCCGGTTTCCTGAGGAAGAGGCCCTGGATTTCTCTCTGAGAGGGAGGGAAAGTCTAAGGAAGCCTCTTTCTTGGTGTTCATCTTGACTGTTCACAGCTGGGTCTGTATGTGTCCCTGTCTCCACATGCCTTTTTTCTGTTTTTAAAAAAAATCTCATTTCTGGGGTCTCTGTGTCTTTGTCTATCTATCAGTCCTAGGGTTGGGCAGAGCATCCCGAGAGCCTGTGCCCCCGGGATCTGAACTGGCCAGAGTGAGAAGGACACTAAGAACCACTCTTTATCCTGCCTCACTCTGAGACCAAGAGAAATGGTTGGAGGAACACTGTGATTAGCCTCCGGAGGGAAGTCTCCTCAGACCCCTCCCCTCTCTGTCCACACACCTCTGCCCCTTTCTGATAACTCTGCCTCTGACTCCACCTCTGCTACCTTGTCCTCACTCTCACCCCCCCCCCCACCTCTCTACACTTTTCCCCTGTGGCACGCAGACCTCGTATTAAGGCTGGAATTCCCATGATCAGGTGAGATGTCTGGGGCACAGCTTTGTCCCCAGGCTCATAACAATGCCTGTGGGTCAGTATAGACAGACAGCTGTCTGTAGAGTTAGCAGAGTGCCACAAGTAAATAAGAGCCTCTCACGTCTTAATTAAATCCCCTTTGCCAGGCAGGGCAGCCTGTGTGTGATTGCAGTGGACGGCAATCGATGAGCATCTTTCACAGACCAGCAGCCTCCGGAGCCCGGCCTGACCTGCCAGTCCCTCTCAATTCCACCTGCCCACTTCTCCCCAAAAGCTGGGAGCCCCCGAAGGTCAAGAGCTAGATCTGATTTGCCCCTTGCGACTTTGTACCGAATCCGGAACACATAAGGAAGGAATGATAATGATTGCTGATTAAATAAACCGATGGGTGGCTAGCACAGGCCTGGAGGACTGTGAGGTTAGAAATACAATCCCTGTCCCCGGCATCAACTTCGAATCTGTAGGAACCACAGCCCCTAGACACACTGGCTCACTACCCAGGGCGGCTGAAGCTATGGGGGAGTGGGGCTATCAGCCTCCGAGGCGCCAAGCGGTCTTTGCACTTCTTCTCATAAGGTAATTCGGGTTATGGGTAAACTGAGATCTGTGTGTCATTCTTGTGACTAAGTCACCCTGGAGTTAGGAAGGGTCCAGAGCCTGAAAGGGTCCAAAGGGATTAAGGGGCGCTCAGGATTAATCATTAATGGAGAGTTGGGACCGGAGGATGGTGAGAAAGGTAGTATTTTGCAGTCCCTATAAGAGGATGTCTCTGGAAGGATCATGGCGCTTTCAGGTTTCCTGGGAAGGGTCGATATTAAGGGATTCCTTGAGAGGTCAGTACTAGTCCCGGTCAAGGAATGGCTTGCCTGCGCAGAGGATCGGATGTCTCCTGGGTTAGAAGAAGAGGAGCTGGCCGACGCCCTTCTCACCTCTGTGTGACCCGGGGGCGCGGGCCCAGACGTCGCTGGGAGCCTCCGCCCAACTAGTGGAGCTCCCCGAGGGCGGAGCGTCGGCGGGTCCCCACTGAGCGAGAGGCAAGGAAGGGCGGGCGCCCCCAGTGCCGGGGTTGAGGGAGGCCGGGTTCGGTGCGGGCCTAGGAGGGGGGCGCAGAACCAGGGCTTTTTAGGACCCAGCGCGGCGCCTCCCTCCGGGGGCGAGTGCGGCTGCGCGCGCCGTGTGCCCGTGTCCGGAGAGCCGCGGGCTGGACGCGGACCGCGCGAACGAGCGAGCGAGCGAGCGAGCAGGCAGCG